GGCGAGATCCCTGCCATAATAAAAGGCAGTGAGCAGCACTTCGAGGAAAGGAGGTGCGTACCGTGAGTACGGTATCCTCCATCTCCTCGTGTGTGAAGAGCCTGTATCGAGGGGAATCTCGAGAAGATCGCTGTGATATCGATTGATTCCAAACGACAATAAGGAGTTGGTGCAAAACTTCGCAACACCCATCTGTACAAAAATCAAATCAGATTCGGAGCTTCGAAAATATTGACCGGATATAACTGTTGTTTTGAGTGGTGTCGCTCGTCTTAGCAATAACAAGAGGGGATTTGAGCCTTACAGTAACCACATAATTTTTCAGAAGCGATATGACTGAGCAGAATGAACCTATGGAGGACGCTGAAATGGCGGAATTAGAGCGCTTGCTGCTCTATGAACCGGCAGCCACGGAGCAAATGGCTCATGGATGAAAGCCTCTATGGACATGCTTGTCTGCACGGTGAAGGAGATTGCCCACAAAAGTGAACTCCAGCTACGGGTGCCTCACGATATTATGCTAGATAAAGTACATTAAGTGTACTTGGTTATAATGCTCACTGTTCTCAGTTATCTATGTTCACTTAAGCCTGTAATCTTCTCTGTTGTACAGTAACCCATTTCGCAATTCGTTCTCGTTGTACTTATTCTCCCCTATTTTCGAAAATCTTGTAGATCTCATGATATCCATGTAAGCACTCTTATATAAGGCTTTAGGTTCCGCCCCGTCTCCTCTCAATCTCCTGAGCGGTTCGCTCTGGTCAATAAAGTTTCTACATTTAGCTGTAGACACCCCTAGACAGCATACACACGACCGGACCCGACAGATGAGACATTCGCTTGTAAACTACTCAACTGCCCATTTGCGAGAAAAAAGACCGTATTGGATACTTCAGACACTGATACTTCGACCGCTCGCTTAGTCAGCACATCAGACACAATACTAATTCGCTGAAGGTCCGTATCTAAAACGTATTCCGAATCTTATAATCATTTTGTATGAAAACATCTCTTCAAGAAGGTGACCCTAAAGAGGGCTCAAACAACCTGCTCTTGTACACACACAGCAGGTGTGTTCGACATTGGTGCAAACGGGTGCAATATTGGAATTGAGGAGCTCAAACTACATATATTTGACTTATTTATAATCAAATTCAGATTTTCACCTTTACATCGAAAATAAGGTGTAGCCTCGGGCAGTGGTCAAACACCCTTCTAGTCGCTAGCACTCACCAACTTCGTCAAAAGCTCGAACTTAAAGGTCACGCGTAGCGTCTGCTCACGAATATGGTGATTTAAAAGCTGATGTCACATAATTAGGTGATTGAATAGCATCCATGCATTCTAGTGAGCTCGGTCTGAGAGAAGTGGTGGCATGTGAAGACGTCAGAGCTTAAATGCACTCAATATTTGTGTTTATGGCCCTCAGTCATCTCTCCAGGTAGGGTACCAAGAAGAATAAGTTTCTTGCCACATTGGTTTTTGGCGGAGGCTGAAGACACCAGCTCACGATACTGCACCCATGGTGACCCACATTTTGCCGAGGTAAGAGTCAAAATCTGGACTTGTCTAGAAAATTGTCCGAAGGGTATTCTGGCCTTCTGAATACGGATGGAACTTTTTGCTTCGCGTGAGGACGCTTCACTCTCGCGCTGGTGTGTGCAAACCAAATTCGGAACGTCATTGGGAAATTCACCTAAAATCGACCTGCATATAAAAATTGGCGGTAGCTTGAAGATAATCTGTCTGTTGTAAGCGATTTACGAGAATAGCAAAGGAAGATACGCAAGTGGATCTGACTCCCCAAATCCACCCTACAAATCCGTCTCCTTAACCACTAGACCATCGCACCACCTGTGGTTGAAAAGCCTTCATAATTTTGTTCGCAGTATTGTTCATACAGAAGATAGAAAACTCTGGCGGAAACTTCGACCTTCCATCCTTGCCCTGATCAGCAACAAAATTCCCTGGGAAACTGCAAGGAAAGAGTCTAATTTCACCAATCTTACGCCATTTTCGCGTCGCTTCGCAAAAATTGTGGAAAAAATACACGTCGAAGACGAATCTTTTTTTTCCTCACTGCAAGATGACCCTTCGTCTTCATCGCCATGAGACGCTTTAATGTGACTTTCCTCTTCACCTTCGCAAGTACACCGCTCTCCCTTTGGGTATGATTGCTCTTGGCAAGCACTTCGATTTTGCAGACATCGACGTCGGATTCACACTCCTACAATGAAGGAGCGCAACCCCGGATTCATGGAGTCAGTGCTGCCCACGAAAGAAATGCCTATTTCGAATCCTGAGTTAAGTGCACTACGAGAAGAAGACGTATCTCCGATGTTAGACGCCAACCCACAAGACGGACCACAGCGCTCGACATTTGGCACTGGCCTAGTGCAAGGGAGGAACACACCCTATGCATGGAGGAATGCCTATCACAAACAAAAACTTGCTCCGTTAAGTTTAGGTGAGCTCCATAATTGTACGGGCACAATGGGAATTATCGTGGCTCATGTTTCGACACTGCTTTCTTCTCATACGGCAGTAGCTTACCGCACAAACCCAAATCCTTTTTTTTCTGCAAAGTTTGGGTGAGAGGCGTGGAACTTCTTCAATCATAACGATCCTATAACCCAGACATGTTTAACTCAGCTTTAGAACTATGCTAAGGAGTAATCGCCAGCGCAGCTCACCCATCAAAAAGCGCTGAAGTCAAGCTGCAGAGAAAATTCTACTTTTCAGAGCCCTCATTTCTGCAGATGCGGAGCCACCCAGCCGCAGTCGCACATAGACGACTATGTTAAGCAGATTCAAAGAGGCTTTGATGTACGGAGAAGGCTCAAACTCATCACGATTATAACACTAATTCTAGATTGGTACAAACTGTCGATAATGAAATGCCGAGCTGACTGTAAATGGAAAAAAGCAAAGAAAACAGAAAATGATTTACCGGTTGTCGTCACATGAACTAGCAGCACTCACGCTGTAATATCTGACGTTTTAATTCTTCTTTACTCACAGTTGTTTGAAAGCCACGAGTCAGGATTAGGCAACCAGCAGAAGTTCTTCCCAGGGTGCGATAGTGGGCTCCCCAAGCACTGAGGGCGCGACACTATCGCGACCCAAAAGTGCGCGGCAATGGCGCTAAGGCCTTGCCCGCCGCGCTGCCCGCGCTGCCAGCGTAATCCACCACGGCATACGTGGTCTCTGCGTCCTCTCGCGTATGACGTACTATCTCGCGTTCTCCCTCTCCTCGCAGCGCTGTGTCTCTCCGTCGTACTACGGCCGGCCTCCTAAGGGAAATTTAGTGTTTTCTATGGTGCTTTTTGCTTTTTCTCCTCACTAATGTTCCTCATTGCACCCCTTGCCTAATGTTTGAACAAAATAACGCATCAATTCAATCCCGACTCGTGCCTTTGAACATCTAACCGTTTTATTTCTAGTGAAACATTACATGATAACTAATAAAAACGAAGAAGCAGTTTGTTCGGTTTCTGTTGATTTTTGATTTGCACTGTGGAGTAATCGTTGTTGTGGATAAGGGACATACCGCAATGCAACCGTTGCCTCAACTGCGCCCGCGCTTTTCAAGCAGCGCCACGTGGCAACCGACAGCGGAAGGTGGGGCTTGCGGACGAAGGTGTGGATTGCGGGTCGCGAGCTCTAGCGCCTTTGTCGCGCACTTTCAAGCCGCAAAAGGGGCGCGACATCAACACTTGTCCACCTGTCTATTACGTTGGGGTGTGGAACACATGAATCCCGGCCGTCTTCAAGCTGGAATCAAGCATACCTCGGGATATTACACAGGAATGAATCGGGTTCATACCGTTTTCTAGTAACTTTGAATTATCCACTAATTCAAGAGCAAACACACGAAACTGCAGGAATCAACACAAACTCACAGCGAGGGGCTTCAATAATACTTCCTTTCTGTCAGGATGTCGATTACAATGTTACTATATTTAGTGCAGAAGCTGAACATTTGCGTTCCAGTTTGTGCAAGTATTGGAATGTTTTCGAAATGTTGTTTTCAAATTTCATTCTCAGATACTGTCAACGTAATTTTTCGATATTTGTTAATGTGATGTTGTCGAAGTGTTTCCCGCTTTCGTTTTATGAATCCAGAACGCGTTCATTCTGGGAAGGCGTCTCTTCCTTCTCGCTGCGCGACGAGCCCTGTGTCTGGTAGCAACCCGCGCTGCAGTATGCCCACCCTGCCCACCGTCTGAATTTGGCTGTCTAGCAAGTAAGCTTTAGCATTAAGAGGGCAGTACCGATAAGAGTCGCGTCAGTACGGAGCCCAGGGGGCAAGTGAGCCCTTTCTCGGATCCTGGGCGATTTCTCATGGTTTTTTCTTCACCTCTGCACCACGACATCCTCTACTTCGACTTTCAATGAGCTGTCTTTTCATCGTGAACTCTGCCTTCAACGTGCACAGATTACGAAAAAGGGCTTAAGCACAACTAACTTTTCACAGAGGAGCATGATTTTTTCTCTGGTTCAAGAATTGCTGTCATCTCCAGCTGGCCATCTACCATGGTGGGTTTCGTCTTCAATCACGACAGTATCTACGACTTTGCTCTTCCCTCATGGTCGCGAAACTGTGAGAAGCAATAAGCAGCAATTAAGGTGTAAGTAAGCGTAACACGCAGATTCTCTCCCCGACAGGATAACCAGCTGAATTCTCGAACCTCGCAGTGTTGGTAACCAAATCGATCTATATGTAGCTATATGAAAAGGAATGCACAAGAGCGTCACATTGGGAGTGAATTTCCCCATGAGGATGGATAGGCAAATAGATTTAAAAAAGAAATTTATCAGAGTGAATAGTTGATGTTGCACGCGACGTTCTTTCTCACTGGGTTCACAAAGGTACCCAAACTTATTATCGACGATACAGGGCGCAACTAACGCGAGTTGGAATTGCAGGCTTGTGACCACGTGTAAGACTCTAGCATGTTTATCTGAGGCTAGCATTATCTGAAGTGATAGGTTTATTCCGCCAGAAATTCGTTAAAAACTGCCTCACCAATAAGAAGTGAAGGTTAGTTGGGTATGCGTTCAAAGTCGCAGTCCACGAACACCCCAGGAGTAATTAATTCTTGCCGCTAGTCGGATGGAGCTATCAACAAAAACAGAATCAACATGGTATACACAGCGGAGTGTCTGCGTCTCCCTCGCCCTCCACTCTCTCCCGTATGTTCTCTTGTCTCGGCCTTCAGTGCCTTTTTTCAGCTGCTCGTCTACCTTCCACGAAAGTGTTTCGCTTTCTCCTTGATCAACGGTCTCTTTCGCACCTTTAGTTTCATTTTAGAGTGACCACACCGAGGTGGTCGTGGAATGTGCTTCAAAAAGGGAAACTATTATGCAATTATACAATCGTAGATCACCATATGTATATCCATCTATGTCCTTCATATCATCAGACGCTATTAACACTTTTCTACAAACATTGAGAGGAAACAAGAAGACATCAGAATGGTGAGGGTCACATAATTCTTCTACAACTGCTTAGTAGTTAAGTTACTAATGTCATGACAGATGAACGATGGAACACTTAGAGAAGAATGTGCAAAAATCTATCTCAGAGGCACTGATCACGATGGCTAGAGGGCGGTGCGACTTTGATGAAGTCACTGAGTGTCATTGGTGGAAGGACGTCAAAAGGCAGATCCAGCCACGCCCCCCCCCCCGTGGGCGCTGCGCGGCCTAGTTAACCAATGGCGATCAATAACGCCATCGAAACCGACCCGCCCAACAGCCATCCTGAGCACGGCCTTTGAAATCTATTGTCTTTTTTATACAATTGTTTCAATCAGCATTATCTCGTTAATAATGAAGCTAGAGCTGGAAAAAGTTCACAGTTGAATGGAACTTGAAAAACTTAGTAGTAGTACAACATTTCCTTCTTGATACGATTATACATGGAGACACACAATATACAGCCGAAGACCTGGAGAACTGATTATATGTATCGCAATATGTACATTGGGGCTTGTCATAAACAACAAGATTAAGTTTAAAAAATAAAAATAAAACTACCTGAAGCGCTGATAGTATGAAGAGAACACCGAATGCTGCCGAAAAATGTATTCGGTTGTATTGAAACATATGAATAATGCAGCCCTGAGAAAACATATACAAACTTTTCCAAACACTGAGAAAACAACCCCGCCAAAACCTGATCCTATTTCGCTTCAAGCAACAGTCCCAGCAGGGTTTTTACCTTCGACACTAATGGTGTGGAACGATGCGCTAGCCTAGTCAAGAACATAAAAAGTGTGACTGAACAAAAAACTCACCTTAGGAAAGCCGCTAGAAAGGGAGCTGAACATCTTTAAGGTGGGCGTGGTCGCTAATCATCGTCGATCGGTTGCAATCCCCTCGGCTTATAGGCGACCACGCCCACTTCAAGTTGTTCAGCTCCCTTTCTAGGGGCCGTAATAACTTCGTACGGTAAAAACCCTGCTTGGGACTGGTTGCTTTTCAGCAAACCGAGCCCGAGCTTGAGTGCATACAACAGAATTTTTACTAGGTGGTCACTTAATTCTGATCAGTGGCGTTTAGTGAGTTGAATAATTTTCAAACTTTTTTGGAGGCTCATTATGGTCAGGGTCCACAACATTATTGGTCGTATTGGCTTCAGCGACTTGAAAGCAATGATTTTCATGCACATACAAACAACATTCCGACAAGCCAAATGCATTGCAACCCTTAAAGGCAGCGAGTACGACAATTTGATGTTGATTAATCAGAAAGCAGAGGTGCCAAATGGTGCGGCAGTAAAGAAGGAACAAGAAGAAACCGTCAAAACTCGAGCCATAAGATCCACATTCATTCATCCCCATTTCTACCATTCGACTTGAGACGAGTCTGCTGTTTGGATGATCACGGCTTGCGTTAGAAAGTCACTAGACGATAAGCAAAAACCCCCATCGAAGAGGTGGTGCTCGCAATTTTTAATTTATATCATTAGGTGTATTTCATGTATCTTTTATGCGTTTATTCCGATATGTCAGTGTCCTCTTTGATTTCGTTACATAAAAGCAAAAATGAGTCAGTGAATTGGTAATTTTGAAACCGGTTTTTTTGAGCAGGAAAAGTAACCAAAATTAAGTGAACCACCTAATATTTTCAGCATACACATGTTTCAGGTACGGTAACACTACAACCAGCCAATCACTGTCTGTAAACATGCCAATTTTCGGTTTCTTCAATATTTACCAAGCTTCAGCTCTCACAATGCATGCAGCAACAGCTTTTCGTCATCCCCCCTCCCCCAAGCTGTTCCGAGGGATGATGGTGCACTACTGGAGTGAGCAACCCTCATGAAGATAGAATTTTTCTTCACGTTTAACCCCTACTGGATTGATGACCGAGCAGATAGCGCTGTACGCAGCGCGCCTCTTCAGTTATACTCACCTTTTCCTACCCGAAACTGCACGGAATCACTGTAACACGAAATAGCAGTACAAACCTGTGGATACAGAGAAATGCATGCTCTTCAAAACAGGTCATCTTCGGACGTGATAGAGTCGCAAAGCCAGAAGCCCACAACAATACCAAATACCTGCAGGCATGCAATGATATTTAAAAAGGTTGCATATAAGCAGAGCATATGGTATATACCCTCTGTTTCCGAAAACCAGGTGCGCGTCGAGTGCAGACCACACACCACAAGTGACGACGGCCTCCACAAAATGTAAATTGTTTTCTGCCAATGAAATGATTAGCCGGTTGCAGTTGTATTCTATCAGTTGTCACTATTACAACTATCATTTACAACTATCAGCTATCACTATACTGGTTATTAGATTTACTTTGAGGCGGTCGTCGCTTGCAATGTGTAGTCTGCACTTGACGCGCATCTGGGTTCAGAAGCAGAGGGTACATATTGTAGAAAAATATAATGACAATATGACATATCAGTGCATATTTTAATATACATAATAATAATAAAATAAAGTAAAATACAAATCTTATGTGCAACATAATTTATGGATGTATGCCAGGTCGCTAAACTAGTCTTCTCAAGTTCAACTGAGTTAAGGAATGAGAGCAAGCCGCGACAGGAAAAAGCTACGTCGCAACCCCTTTCCTTACCGAGGCTCTGGTACGGGCACTTTCATCCTCCGTTCATCTTTGTCTCCTCCGTTCACTCTTACTGAATCCATTGAAGAATGGTAGTGTCGATGCACGAAAGGGGATTGCTTGCAATTATTGCCACTAGCGTACTCGCATATTACACGCTTTTCTCGCTCAGAGTCTCGAGAAACAGATCAAGGCCGCCAGCCAACATGCTCAGCCGGGCTCCACGACTTTTTCACACCTAGAAGTGTGGCCACGGCAAGCGCGGACGAGTCTGTAGTGCTCCTGCACAGATAATGCGTCCTTAATCACAGTCTCGATGCAGCCACCCCAACAGTGGGAGCACTACCAACTCGTACGCGCACGTCGCGGCCACGCCCTAAAGTGTGGAAATTTTCATGACAGCTGAGCTGACCCTTTTGAAAGAACTTCAGATAGCACGGCCTACATTGTATGCAAGCTACCAGAATGTGAGAAAACGGTGTCCTCTAAAAGAGCGCTGGTCGTAGGACCACCAAAGTATGAAAAGTAAGAATCTCTCGTGATTAGTCCACCTTTAGTTTGACAATCTGCATGTATCAAACGAAATTCTATAATTCCCAGTCTACGACATATATGAAATGTAAATACTCGGAAAGAATGACAGGATCTTGCGAAAAAACCTTTTCGTAAAGAAATAAATAAACGAAATTAAGTGAGATGTTATCAGAACTGCAAACCAGCACGACACCGGTAGTCAGTTGGTTTTTTCGTGCTAATTCAAATGCAGGAAATTTTAAATTTGAGAAACTCGCTCACTAAACCATCTCACCTAAAGGAAGCAAATTCTGCTTTGCGGTGCAAGCCTTCTCTAATCTTTCTACCTCTTTTCCCTCTTGGATCTCATTCCAGCTCCTATCGCTTTCCCGCCCACCTCAATTTGTACTATGAACAAGTGTTTAGGCTTTACATTCCTGACAAAATTACTCGAGCGGGAAGGAGTATTATGAGAACGCCGTTCGCAGTTTCGCAAAACTTTGTGGCAAGTTTCCAGAAAACCCAACAAATAAAAGAGAAGAACCTTCGTTAGAGGGAGGTCCTCCTTCCCCTAACAGGAAAAATCTATGCCATTTCGACGCCTTCGCATGCACAGCACTAACCACTACCACAGTGTCGCACATAAATTGCAAGTATGATGACCTAAGAGTGCACGGAGATGGGTGTGCGTCCTCAGCTACAAACGAAAAGTGACGGGATGGTTCGTGTCGCTGCTGGTGTTTTGGTTTAGAAAAGGCAACCATTCACCTGGATCAACGCAACGAAAACAACTGTCCAGGAAACAATTTTGAAGTGTGAAGTGAGTTCATTAAATGACTCGGCGATTTTGGCATAGCAACCCTGAAGACATGTTGTAACTGAAAGGCGTATCAATATGGTCGGGACAGCCAACATCCCATTGTTCTGGAGGGCGACTTGCAAAGAATCAAATATTGTAGCTATACGCTACCTTGTATACATATATGGTTAGAAAACATTATAAGCATTATGAATAATTACTTTAGAATTCGTTACCATTAGAACGTTCTCAGAATGCTTTCAGAATATGTTTTTCGATTGCCAGCTGCCGTTGAGGAGATGACTTTTTGAAGTCACAGCTGCAGATTGTGACTGTGGGCACTGTATATAAGGAACCCCAGATGACTCACGGGGCTTCTACTTCTGGCTTCGGCTCTCTAGCTCCTGACTCTGATCGTCTCCTCAAGACCGCAATACTCGTCCATCAATAGTAGGTTTCCTTGAATGAACCTATTCCTAGTGTACATATTCTAAAGGCAGCCATTTTACAGATCCTCCACCAGTTATTCTCAATAGTTTCGGCACCTTTTCGGCTTGGAATCAATATTCTACCGACTCGAAGGACTCCAAGCATCGTTCGTATTTGGATATTAACCTTAATAAATATTAGTTATTATTATTGTCTGCTTTCTTTAGGACAATACTCAATAATACGTGCCAAGAAACTACACAATATCCGCGTGGCCAGTGCAAGCACTGTTAGGCGAGCAATTATTACAAGGCTGCTAAAAATATTTAGTTCTAGCGTTAATAGTACCGGAAGCTCTCCAGTTATTGCGATTCATTGTTTGGATTCGAAGGTTTCAAAAAATGTGCAGAATCATAAAGAGGTTGAACATTTTTGAAGCGAAGAACACACATGCAACTTCATATAGCCTTGCCCTCAACGACATCGTCAGCAAAAATACGATAAGAACACGCTTTATCACAATAATGAAAAAATGAGACCAGTTCTCAATGCAGTTTTTTGGTTTAGTCTAGACATTTGAAGTGTTGCCCGGACCTACTCATGTGGATTCAAGGTGATCTATGTTACCACTCAAACATAATTTACAACTACCAGCCCCCGCTTCCTTCGAAGTGGTCAAGCAATCACTCAGATGCATCAGTTTGGTCGTTGTTGGAAAACAATCGCTAAAACTCTTTCAATATGTGGAGAAACTGTGGAGTTCATCATCAAACGGCTTGAAGACCTTGGAACTATTGAAGACCGCTCTGCGAGAAGATGACGAGCGACTGCAGCTTTCACGAAAACGTTAATGGTTCAAGACATGATGAGACGCAGCCCTAGGAAACCAGTAGGGGAGACCGCCAAAAAGCTGGGAATCACCCATACCTCATCTCTTCGTGTTGTCAAGGAAAGCTGGGAGTCAGGCCTTACCGATGCTAAAATACCCATTTTACTGCACCTATCGGGAAAAACCGAGTCAGGAAGTGTAAGGTGCTCCTTGAAAGATTTACGTCGACACGTCAACGAGACTACTTCTTTCAATGAGAATGTTCACGCTGGAGTCAATCTTCAATCGTCAAAACGATTGGATGCTCTGCACAACAGTTGAACGCAGCAACGAGAAAGGGAGAATTCATGAATCTCCAGACTCGTTGAGAAAATTATGGTTTAGACAGCGACAACCTACTAAGCCAGGCCCCAACTGGTCTTTAGCGCCAAGGATGTTGAAATTAATACAGAAGTTTACTTGGAAGGCATGCTTAAAAACA